GGGGTCAACATGGGGTCAACATGGGGTCAACATGGGGTCAACATGGGGTCAACATGGGGGTCAACATGGGGTCAACAATTAACATGGGGGTCACCATAGGATAAACACCGGATGTCGGAAAAAATTATTACACATACCTGGAATTTTTTTAAATCTATATTAAAGTTAGGTATATGTGTAAAAAGTGAACTGTTCTCAATTTCTCCTTTGAATTAAGGTATTCGTTGTGGATAACTACTTTACTGGGCGGAAGCGTAATATAGAGCAGTGGCTGGGTCATGAAAACTTTGAAATGTTGCATCAGGACATAGGTGAGAACCTGAGAACATGTAGATTTAGATAGTGGTCAACAGAGAGAAATAGAATAAGTATCATTTTAAGCCAGGTCTAAGTAAAGTAAATTGAACGAAATATTGAAATCTTTTATGTTTTTACTTTTAACTCCCATTAATGATCAGCTATAGAGAAGAACAAAAATGTTATGAAATGTTAATATTTAACCGAATAAATAAGCATCTCTCATATTTGTGCTTAAAATCAGAACTACAGGAGCAATAAGGTCACATAGTTGTACCAGTAATGTCAATATTGAATTTGAGCTTCTCCTCCTGGGTAGTTTACAGTAAATACCTTTCACACTGAATTATTTGTTAATAATTATAGTTTGAATAATTCTTAGCTTTTCTGGATAGTTTGTCACTGCCCTTCAGTAAATGTTGCTCTCTCTGTATTTAGATAAAAAAGATTGCAACAGTACACGCAACAAAAACTCTAAGGGGCCTCTTTTTTTGCCCCCGTTTTCTCCAGCTGTATACAACCCTTTGCTTTAATGTTAAACACGTCTTTCTATTCCACATTTTTGGAAGGTATTGTGCGGAGGGAGAAAGTAAATTGTAATAGATATGATAATTTAAGATAAATCTCTTTTTTTTGGACGGGGGGAGGGGGGGACAACAGTTCTACGTAAATAATGTCTAACATATCTACGTTTTTGTAATGATTTGCTCCGTATTTATTTATTATAAATATGACAAAAAAGATTACTTGAAAGAAACTAGTTCTCTGCTCGTAATACAGTACTTTAAGCTAACCGTCACAAAAATGTTTGTACTATACAGCCAATCGATGGCTCAGGTTCTGAAGAAATGTTTTTTTTTCATCTCGATATTTTTAAATGACATTCATTTGGCTTCACTAATCCCTAATAAATATCAATTTTAAATTAGTTTATCAGTTATTACAAAGAGAAATATCAAAAAGGCCACAGACGTGTGGTATTTACAACAATTCTAAATAATGTCTTATAAAATAATTAGATAAATTGTAAAAAAAATATAATTTTTACCTGTTCAGTGAATCCTCTGTATCTGGAGGTTGATCAAATTTATCACCTCGCCTCACCAGCTTCTCCTCCTCATTACATGTACAATCCAGTCAAAACTATCAAGGAACCATTTAAACTCGTGTAAACATGTACATATATTATATATATAGTATATTCAATACATGTCCTTGAATTATTTGATACATATGGAAGGCAAAGTGGCATCGAAAAAGTTCCAAAATTTTTTTACGTGTAACATTTTTGTATATTTTTAAAAATGAATTTTTAATCATTTGCCACATTCTTTTATTTCTTACAAATAAGTATGACAATTGTAATACGTACTTTTTGCAATTTTTAAAAAAATTTCTTAAGCATTCTAAAAGTTTCGAAAATTAACATAGAACAAAAAACATGCCTTAAAGAAATGGACTATAAACATAAAACCATAAAACAAAAACATATTTTTTTATTTTTTTTTAAGCTCATTTATCTTTGGTCGGAACGGAAGGAGGTCAGACATCAGACCATACTGCTAGTGTAAGGCTTCTTACCAGGGCCGGATCCAGCTCTTTGAAAAACTTCTAATAAAACTGTGATGGGGGGAGCAAATATTAAATTATTCTTAAAATATGTAAAAATATTGCAACATTAGAACTGTATTTTCAAACGAAAATTATTAATATAAAAAAGGATAGCAAGTAAATAGGTCTTGGATATATCATTTTAGAACAAACAAAATGTATCAAATAATATCATTTAGGGGTTAAATTTTGTGAAATATTTCTTAAATCATTTTACAGAAGCAAAATTGTATTCTAGAATTTTAAGGCATAATATTAATATTATATTAATATATAATATTGACTTGATCTCAGATTAGGTTTAGAGATAAAAATGTATTAAAATCACTGGTCAAGTAAAAAATCAAATTTTTAACAGCATTTTGAATTGAAATGGGTAGCAATAAATACTGCGTGAAAACCGGAGTTTAATAATATAAAAAAAAGCCCAACTATGGTCACAGATAGTTTTTTCTATATCTAAATCTGTTAAGTACTCAAAAAATGTGTTTTTTATGTTTTAAATGGTCAATTTGCAATATTTTTATATTGTATTTTATATTATGATTTATATTAAATTATTTATATTATATTTTGATTTAAATTCGGGAAAACAACTCTGTTTCAAAAATACCCATGTATTGAATATCTGTTAAAATTAAAATTTTTATTTGTATTAGTTGTTTTTTTATCATTACAACCCTTTTCATGGAGCCATTTCATGGAGCCATTTCTGATTTTTGTAAACTTTTTTGTTGTTATTTTTTTCTTAATATTTTTCCTCGTGAGAAAAATTTTCACAGTTTAATAAAAGCTTACTTTTTTTGAGTTTTGACATTTTTTTCAATTTTTCTCCCGAGGCCGAATTTAAAGAAATTGAGCCGCGGCTTAAATTTGAAACGCGGCTCAAATATGGTTGGTTCCACTTAAAATTGTATCCAATGTTTCAATATTTATGCCGGCGCTCAATTGAAACCGGTTTTTGGCGGATTTAAGACACGGCTCAAATTCATTAAATTTGGACTCTGGTGAAACGAATTTAAATGATATCCAGACTAACACTGTTGGTACAATTAACATGCTTGGTCTGGCTAAACGAACCAAAGCAAGGATTCTAATTGCATCCACTAGTGAGGTAATATGCACCGTTAAAACGTCTCATAGGTCTCAAATGAATCCTAAAATTGCCGGTCACTCCCTTTAACCTTGAACTTGACATTTAAATGTTTATCTTGACCTTTAAACCTTTATCTTGACCTTTAAACATTTATCTTGATCTTTAAACCTTTATCTTGACCTTTAAACCTTTATCTTGACCTTTAAACCTTTATCTTGACCTTTAAACCTTTATCTTGACCTTTAAACCTTTATCTTGACCTTTAAACCTTTATCTTGACCTTTAAACCTTTATCTTGACCTTTAAACCTTTATCTTGACCTTTAAACCTTTATCTTGACCTTTAAACCTTTATCTTGACCTTTAAACCTTTATCTTGACCTTTAAACCTTTGTCTTAACCTCAACCTTTATCTTGACCTTTAAACCTTTATCTGGACCTTTCATCCTTTATCTGGACCTTCAAACCTTTATCTTGACCTTTAAACCTTTTTCTTGTCCTAAACTAAGACCTTCACCATAACCTTGACCTTTGCCCTAACCTACCTGTTATCCAGGTGTACGGGGATCCCGAAGTGCATCCTCAACCGGAAACCTACTGGGGTCACGTTAATCCAATCGGACCCAGGGCATGCTATGATGAAGGTCAAACAAATCTTGAATCTTTAATCCAACCAATCTTAATCCTTAAATATTATATCTGAACCAAATCTCCTTTGTTGCCCACTGCTCCTCTAAATGTTCAATATTTTAGGTAAGCGAGTTGCAGAAACCCTCGCGTATGCGTACGCAAAGCAGTCAAATGTATCTGTCCGCGTAGCGCGAATTTTTAATACTTATGGTCCGCGGATGCACGCGAACGATGGACGAGTAGTTTCTAACTTTGTTATTCAGGTGAAATACTTGTAAAAAATGTATTTTCTGGCTATTCATCTCTTTTCCTTTAAACCATTAAGTTAGCTTACAAAAAAAAGATTAAAGAAAAAAAATGAAAAAATAGAAAGGGTTGGGAAGTAAAAAATATTTATTTTGATATTTCCTCGAATAAGAATTAAATCTGTCTTTTTTAACTAAGAGAAGAAAATTCGAGAACAATTAAGATTATGTTTGTGAAGTTAACCCTCGGGATCCTTTAAGTATTTGTTTAATGTTTAGGCTCTAGAAGATAAACCTTTGACTATCTATGGTTCAGGAGATCAAACAAGGTAGGTCCTCAGGGGGGGGGGGCCTTTTTTCAGGCGGGAAGAAATCTGTCAGTAATATTAGCCTTTACAAAACCTTTAGTTGTTTGTCTGAATGTTTTAGTTGGTTTATATGTGGTAATTTTTTACTCTTTGTGGGCTTCATACATTTATGCGTATGCGTATAAAAATCGAACTATTATTATAGATTTATTTCGCACTCAAAGGTAAAAATTATAAAAAGTTAATCATGGTTGCGATCTCATTATCAACTAAATAGTTTAGAACAAAAATATCATCTTTAACTTTGAGTAATTCATGAAGAATGGGTAATATCCATTCTTGGTCTAAAGGAATCTGATTGTATATCATATTTTGTTTTACACAAGATTTCTAGATTGTACATTACAGTCTTGTGCAATAGATTTTTACATAAACAGTTCTTAAATTATGTTTACTTAAATCTACTAAAAGTCGGAGACATTGCTTATGACAATTTGATAAACTGGTCACAAATTGTACAAAACGAGTGCATAAAACTGTTTTAATATGAGGAACATTAGAAATGGGCTCAATGAAATATCTATGGGTTTCTCTTGGTAGATCAAAAAAAATGGGATTAGCAATGTTCCATGAATTGAGGAGTTCAGCCCACTACCCCATCCCCTTCTCTACCCTCATCTTGACGTATGATCATACTGCTTCATGTGCATTTTGATTAATATTCCATCGTAGAGGTCACTAAGTCTGTAGAAAGCTGAGAAAACAAGATGTATACTAGCGCCTCTAGTGTGAGAAATCTACCGGATTCCGCTTGTACTCAAGTACACCTATACTCTATAGTTAATAACTCTTTTCTTCCTATAAATGTGTAAATGTTCTAGATCCTTCCAGTACGTGTCCGACTTGGTGAACGGTTTGGTTCTCCTCATGAACTCGAACTACAGCCTACCGGTCAATATTGGCAACCCTGACGAACATTCTATAATCACATTTGCAAACATTATCAAGTAAATATTTATTTTCATATTACTTCCCCCGGGTCTAGTTTTTGATTAATTGGGGGAAAATAAAAAAAATTTTACAGTAAAAGGCAAGTTTTTTTTAGTCTTAGATGATAATTGATTTAAGAATCACAAATAAATGCCGAACACGACTTGTCATTTTTAACTTTTCTTGAAATTATCATGTTTAGCGAGACACACTGTATATTAATATATATTAAGTGATATGGTTGGTGGAGGTAGCAGTATAGAGCACCTGCCTGCTGTAGAAGATGACCCGCAGCGACGTCGACCAGATATATCGTTGGCTAAACGGGTTCTAGACTGGGAACCTACTGTTCCACTCAAGTAAAATCTATATTTTCAGGGGGGTACAGCGAGGGGTGTACAGCGAGGGGTGTACACCAAAGGTGGTACAACCATCCTTAAGGCCTAAATTTTTTTTGTTGGGGGGTGGACAATTTCAAAGGGTTGCTCAATGTCTGTCAGATATATGTTGACTTTTTGTCCACCCCTCTTAACTAAACCTTTACACAATTCTAGAAGAAAAAAATTTCAACAAAAAAAATTGTGAATAATGGTCTGAGTTACACTTATATTCTCTAAACTATATTTTTAACGTTTGTTTATATATCTGTTCTTCTGGGTTTTCATTTTATTATTATAAATACGAATGAAGGGTTAACGTAGTTTTAGTGAAGAATAGAATACAGGGGAATAGGAGTTTTTTTTACTTTACTGACATGCCATCATTTAAATATTTTAAAAAGGCAGCAGAGCTGGGAACTTTTTTGTTGGATAGTTGTAATCCCCATTGCTTGATCTCTATATTCACTTTAGGGACTTTTAATTTGAGAATCAATGCTCCATCACTTCATTTCAGTTATTTCTCCCCAGATCCCTGGATTCGATTTTTATGTTGGGTATCAAATAAAAATTAAATTGATCTGCAGATTAACAAAATCCGCAAAAAGAGATTTGTTTTTGATAAGATTATATTTAGGAAAGGTTTGGCGAAAACTGTGGATTATTTTAGAAAAGAACTCCAAAGAACTAAACACTCGGACAGAAATCTACCAGAAATTCACGAGTATTCGTCGCTGTAAAAATACGACTAAATTCCTTCAGATTAATATTAGAAGTATTATATAATTAACGGGACTAAAGAATGTAATTAATTCTACCAAAAAAACACCTATTTATTATTACTTGTTGGTTACAAAATTTAACGATAATGACAATCTTAACGGGATGAACTTTTTTCAACCAGAACCAGAAAACTAATTAAATGTCGTCTTTGTTTGTCGCTCAGAATTTGTGACTTGGAACAGTTGCAATTCACAAAATCCTGAGCGACAATTGCGAAATTTCACTAATCTAACGGTAGACATTAAAAAAGAATGTACAGGACACTTAATTTCAATCAAAAAGATCAAATTTTAGTTATGCTTACCTGACTCAAATATTGTTTGTAATTGTAGTCAAAGCTATTGATCCTTGTAAATCGTGTTAAAGAAAATCTGTTACAGTGTTAATTAGTCAATATTTTATCTAATCCGTCCAGAACTGGAATCTTCTTAATAAACGGATTAAGTCAATTTAATTATTTTGTCTCAAATCCTAAAAACTATTAAATCTCAATCAATTTATATATTGTATTGCCATCTCTAGTTGCAGTTGAATATGTTGTCAATTTAAAATCTTAGAATTGTTTCTGATAAATTTATAAATAAATAAATATTTCGAATAAATTGATTGTTATGTGAAGTGATGCCATTAAAAGGAAAGACGGTTAGTTATTGAACTAAAATCTTGGAAAAAGAGACAAATTTTCCGGATTTTTTTAGTAACAGCCATATATGTGGCAAATATAGTATCTAAATGAAAAAATCCTTGAATTTATTCTGCGAAACTTTTTCCGTTTTCTGTTCTCCGTGTTCCTTAAATTTGTTTTCACTGTTGAAGTAAATCCTAACCTAATATCATCCCTAAAATTGACTAAACACTAAGAATTTATACTGTTTTCCTCTTTTAAGGTTTTTGGTCTCTTAAAAGGTCTCACGAAATCTTGAGAAGTTGCACAAATTTGAAAAATATTTTTTTCTTACACTACAGTGGTAGGCGATTATATGAATATAATGAAGACTACTTATGAAAATGTTAACCAAGAGAAAAGATATTTGTATGAACAGACCAAATTAATTGTTTCTTAGACCGTTTATGCAAATACCTTCTCCCAGGGTTGGCATTTTAGAAAGTGCAGTACAAGCAAATGTTTAGAAAAAAATTTTAATTTTTAAAACTTTTTAAAATTTAATATTCAGATAATATTACCATGGTAAAATTCATGATTAAACACTTATTCATATTTTTCTTATTTCTAAAATGTTTAGAAATTACACAAGTAAAAATATTTTTATTATGCAATGACAAAGCATGAGACTCTGTTGTTATTTTTTGTAAGTTTATCGAAAATCACCTCATTAATATCCTGTGAATTAGTGATGACACAGGAAGGGATGGGCGCATTTATTTCGTTCAGTAAAACCGTTCGTTCAGCAATATCGTTCTTTCAGCAAAAAACGATCTTTTTTGCAAAGGTTTGTTAAAAATTCTTCGTTCAGTAAAAAACTATCGTTGAAAAAAAATCGCAAATCGTTCGTTCAGTTCCATAACTCCATTTTTTTAATCTTTGGAAAATTTGTTCGTTCAGCAAAAAAGTTATAGTTTTTTTCTCGTTCTGTCAACCGATTCATTTTTTTTAAAACTATCGGTTTTTATATTTATCTGAACGTTCCATGTCGTCCGTTTTTTTTCTGAACGACACCATCGTTAAAAAATTCGTTCGTTATTTTTGTTATTGTTATTGTTAATCTTATTATTGTTGTTATTGTTATTGTTATTGTTATTGTTATTGTTATTGTTATTGTTATTGTTATTGTTAATCTTTAAGTACAACCGTATGCAGTCAAAACATAAACAAACAAAATGTGAACATAGCAGACGAAACTCTTACAGATTACAGCTTTCTCAGTAGGTATAACTATACTAAATCAAAGAATTATTTGAAAAGACGATATCGAATTTGTCACTGAATTCCCATGTTTATTGGGACACCCTGTATTATATACATATTGCAACAAAAAGTGTAACAGCTGATCTTCAGTGCCTTAGACTTGGGACGAATTAATTCATTTTGAATTTTCAATAGTTTGAAATGAAATCGTTCTGCTGGAGATTTCTTCTTAGTATCATTCAGATCAAGCAGATCAGACTCTGAGGAGGGCAACCTCAGAGTCTGATCTGCTTGATTTTTGGAGGCTTTTATTAGTATTTTTCGAGAGTATTTTTATTATTTGCAACTGAATTAACTTAAATTTCTCAATTGTGAAGATGTGACGTAAATGTTCAATTTTATTACTAGATAAAATAAATATTGCTATATAATTCAGCAAAACCATTCCTTCAATATTTATATAGGGAAATTTCCATCTCTCTAAATATGCCAGGGAAAGTTCAAAATAATTTATGAAAATTATTAGCATAGTGAATTCCACCAAAGGGTCGGGATTGTTTCTTTTATTCCAAACTATTAAATGAAAAATACAACTTTTATAATAATCATTTGAATCATATGATAATACAAACTGAAACTCAATTTTTCTGAGTTGCAAAACTTGGTGCTGATCAGGTTCTATTCATTATGATATTAAAACCATAAACAAATTTTGAGAAAACGGAAAAAATCATTTTAAGGGGGGTCCGACTGGAGAAGTGCGTCAAGCAAGCAGAAAGCAATTCTGACCAAAACCTGTCGTTGAGCCGCTGAGCGCATATCCAGGCTTACCTATACAACGGATGACAAAAATGCAAATGGATTGAGATTTCAATTTGTAAAGTCTTTTTTTTGGTAAAGTATTAGACTTTGAGCAGAAATACACTATTATAAATACACATCTAAAAGGAATCATAAATGTTAAAAACTTGAATGATTAGTTTCCTAACAGCTGTCTTTTAAGACTCATCTTTTGTGTGTAGGCCTGTAGATCAAGGGAATTACTCTAACAATGTGTCTCCAACTTTTTAATTCAATGATTGGTGGGTGGAAACTTTTAAATAGTTAATCAGTTTAGTGTAAAAACGTTCCCTGCAGACAAAGACAAAGAATCATATTGTTGTAATTAAAGGTGTTCTTATAATCACGTCATGTTAGTTTATCTTGACTTTTTCAAGAACTAATTTCTCCTATCCAGGTAAATATATAATCCTAGGGATTTCTGGATCCACATTTTACTCCCATGGGTAAGGTGTGTGTAAAAGCTTCACCTTGGATCCCAGTACTCTTAAAATCCCTTTATATTCTCTCTCTCTGGATATCTGTCAGGTGTTTACTAATAAATAGAGTTGGTCATCGTTCAGACTTTTATAGATAAGGTAATTTATACAAAGTCAATATTGGTTTTATCAGCTTTTTTATCAGATTCTGGAAAACCGTTGATCCGCTGCTCTAGTTCAGGATCTCTCTGAGCAGCTTCCTCAACCTAAAATATCTCGTTCAGCTGCTCCGGATCAGGATCAATCTGAGCAGCTTCCTCGAACTTAAATATCTCGTTCAGCTGCTTCGGATCAGGTTCTATCTGACTAGCTTTCTCGGACTAAAATATATCTTTTAGCAATCTCTCAACAGCTTCCACATTTACTGCTGTTTCATTTGCTGCTTCTACGGTAATCTAGCTGCTACTTGAGCTGCTCCTGGAACCTCTGCTACTTTTGCTGCTCCTACAATCCAAGATGCTTCTACTGATTATAAATCTCTGACAATATATCTCTGATTAGGTATCTCTGATAAAATATCTCTTATTAGATATCTCTAATTAGATATCTCTGATTAAATATCTCTGATCAGATATCTCTGATTAGATATCTCTGATTAAATATCTCTGATTAGATATCTCTGATTAGATATCTCTGATTAGATATCTCTGATTAGATATCTCTGATTAGATATCTCTGATTAAATATCTCTGATTAAATATCTCTGATTAATACCTCAGATTAATATCTCTGATTAAATATCTATGATTAAATATCTCTGATTAGATATCTCTGATTAGATATCTCTGATTAAATATCTCTGATTAATACTACTGAATTATATAATTTTAATATCTCTGGCCAAAATAATGCATCTGAAGAAATATCATGTAAATGGTTTAAAATATCAAATTTCCGATATGTAAAAAATACTGCTTTGATGCTTATAACAAATAAAATAAGAAAATTTGTTTGGCCTTGTATTGTATAGAATCAGTACAGTGTATTCTTTATGTACACAATTGTTAATATTTCAGTCTCTTCGAGTTTAAGTCGTGTTTTTTTAAACCCAGATTTCATCCAGTAGGTGACTGGAATTCAAAAGTCGAGTTAAAGTCGAGTTGAAGTGGAGTTTAGGACAACTAGTTATCATCTAATTGTATCATCCGGTTGTTTTTCCTGGGTCATGTTTTTATTTTGTACTTATTTTATCTAACAGAATTATCAATTTAAAATATTTAAAGGCATATATTAGAAAATCAGAGTTTGCGACAAAGACTTATTTCTTTTGTAAAATTCCTAAGATTTTGTGAAACCTTTAAAAAATCCAAAAACCCTGAATAAACCAACTAAAATCTTTCACACAATGTATGTATTACATATTATAAAACATATTATATATATATATATATATTCATATGTTAGCTATAGCTAGCCAAACTGCTCTACCAATGTATGTATTACATATTATAAAACATATTATATATACATATATTCATATGTTAGCTATGGCTAGCCAAACTGCTCTACCAAATTGGCTTAATTTTTTGAGGGAATCCATGGGTTGGGTATCCCAGGGGTAACATAGGCTAGAAAACCATTTTTTTAAGAATAAGATTTTTGTTCTATACATTTTTTTTTAACATTTTTTAAAATTTTACATTCCATGGGCAACGCCAGGCATTTCAGCTAGTATTACATATATGAATACCTAGAATTCTCTACATGTCTCCGGGTTAGTTTGTCTCCGGCTCCGATGTTCTGAGAGAAGGATTGAGAGAAATTCTGTTTATTCTCCGTCAATCCTCTCTGTAGTATAGTTTATCACACAAATTTCACTATAGAAGGGGATTATTTATTTATTGTACTCTCTCGTATTGGCGTAGTTGTATATGCTGTACAACTTGCCCTTGCTGCCTAAAAGTCGCCCCGGTACTTCAAATAATAAGCTTTAAGTATTCTCCGGTTTCTTCACATGTTTATCTATTTTATGAAACACGTTTGATTTGTCAATTTAAAAGTTATGAAAAATGGACCGAAAAAAGTTTAATTTCTGTTTAAATCTGGTCTTGAGTCTATTTACATAGATGTAACTATAGTAGGCTATTATTTATTTGGCTTACTATCCCGTTTTACCTTACACAGTCTGTTTGTGTACTGTTGCAGCTTCAAAGAAAAATAATTACTGAAAGGACCATTTAAAAAAAAAAACATTAAAAAATATATGAACGAGATCGCTTTTACAGTGTAATGGGGTACTGCAAATTGGTATGCTGGGTTTTAG